ATATATAATTTATGTTAGCTTGGTGAAGCAACTCGTTGACATTCGTGATACTCTACAATCCTTCCTCTTCCCACACTACCAAGTGACCTCCCTTCAACCCCCACCCCACCTCTTAGACCCCCCACCCTAGAGCAACACAGAACGCAAACAATGACGACAGCATTGTACACCGCACAGCCGAAAGTGTTCGTCACGGTGTCTGGTGCAAGGTCGTCGTGAGGATATGAGCATCTCTGTCTATGAAAGGATTCTGCAGATTTTGTGGGGGGTTAAGATCACGAAAAAGGGAGATCCAGGGGTTGTTTTGTTGTTTTTAATGCGTTGAGAAAGTTTTTGTAGGTAAGTTTTTGGTTTATTTTTTTATGGCTATTCGATGATGTAAGTGTATTGTGGTTATTTGTTCAAATGTTATTATACTATTATTATTAATTTTTTGTTTAGAACTACTACTAATCACTACTAACACTGCCACTACTACTGCTTAAATGATAATTATAAGAAGAGGAATTGTTTGTCATCATATAAGTATCGTTATTATCTCATTATCATCCATTATCATAATTAAAGTCGTCTATCTTACTATCATCAGTAATATCATCATCATATAATTAGTCTTCTTGTTCAACGGAGAAGTTTACGTTGTTAATATGTATTTTGTTTACTTAGCTCTAAAATAACATGATGCATAACTTAGTAACGTTCTTCAACAACAAATACAATGTGAATATATATTTTATGTTCTCGTGGGTGGAATTCAGGCTTAATTTGAAATTATTCTTTACAATATGAATTTAATTCGTGAAACATGTCTTACAATACTGTTTTTATAGGGCTTCGAAATCATTTCTATGGTCTATGATATAATATCTCAAAATGTTTAATATCTATTTATATCACTATCAAAAGCAATGCATTGCAGAAGGATCAAATGAATGATGATTATAAAGGGGATACGTGTATTTACAATATATAACTCTCACTTAGGTTTAATCAAGCCGCCAACATCCGGCCGCCTCTTGTATATGTGATTTCGTGACGAATATGTCCTTGGCCTTGTCTATAGCATTTTTTCCTTGTGTTCGAGATTGAGTCCTTGGAAACACGCCTTTAACTGTACGTGCTTCGTTTCATTTACTTCCATCCGGGCTTTTTGATGGCGTTTCCAGATCCCGTTTGTTTAAACTGCTGTCGAAGGCTTCGGTCTGGTGAGTGAATGTCATCATCGTGCAGCGCTTTGTGGATGAAAAGATTACAAAGGCGTGCACTTATTTTCATCGGTATTGAGTCGAGGCGGCGCAGGAGCTCTACGGCTGGGGTTCTGAGGGCACGAGACGCCTCCTGCTGGGGAGGACGAGGGTGAGGTAGCCGGCAAGAGGAAAAATCCTTCGGGAGCTGAAGGACCTGTCGCTTGCTCCATTAATCTACATCGGGAGCCTCGGCGGCGGCGATGGCTGCCTCGTTGTAGGCTTTGAGGAAGGCTGCCTTGGCCGCCGCGACCTCCGGGGTGTCCCTGACGGGCTGGGGCGTCGGCAGGGGCTCGTGGACTGGGGCGGCAGCTCCGCCCGCGGGGACCTGCGGGAGGTTCGTTCCCGTGACGCGGAAGCCGAGCTCGTCCGCGACGTAGTGCTGCGTCTGCGTGCGGCCGTCCTCGTCCACGTACGAGTAGGAGCCCCGCACCGAGCCGTCGGCGCCGCGGGTCTCCGAGCGGGCCAGGTCTCCGCCCGCGAAGCCGAAGGTGTACTGGCCGTACTGGTCCAGCGATTGGTACTGGGACTCGATGGGCTGGTACTGGGGCTGGGCCGGTTGGTACTGGGCTGGGCGGTTGGTACTGGGCTGCCTGCTGGTACTGGCTGACTTGAGAACTCTCTTGGTATTGAACTGGCTGGTACTGAGGCTCAGCAGTTTGATACTGAGACTGAACCGGTTGGTACACAGCCGCAGCGGGTTGGTATTGGGCCGCCAGGTACTGAGAATCGGTGCCTGGTACTGAACCGGCTGGAACAAAGTCTTCGCCGATTCGACCGGAGCTTCGGTTGGCTGGTACACCGGCGGAGAAGTAGCGCCCGACTGGTAGTAAGAGGAGAGAGGGTAGGCTCGGGGTCGACGCTGGGCACCGGCTGGTACGCTTGGTATCCTGGGTATTGAGGGTACGCGTAGTGCTCTCGGTAGATCGGACTCTGGGCAAGACCGCCAACCGCGAGGGCTACGGAGAGGAGAAGCGTCTGCGGGAGAGGGAACGAGATAATTTTATTTTTATCTAAAAAAAAAAAAAAAAAAAAAAAAAAAAAGACTAGAGACCAATAAATGGAACTGAAATTAAATTGTTTCATTTTGCATTTTCTCTCTACACTTTTCTCTCGTCGCTCTTCTCATCCTCTCTCTCTCTCTCTCTCTCTCTCTCTCGTCTCTCTCTCTCTCTCTCTCTCTCCCCTCTCTCTCTCTCTCTCTCTCTCTCTCTCTCTCTCTCTCTCTCTCTCTCTCTCTCTCTCTCTTCTCTCTCTCCTTCTCTCTTCTCTTCTCTCTCTCTCTCTTCTCTTTCTCTTCCTTCACACTAACAACCTAAACAACACCAACGAACACATATACTTTTCTATTGATCTCTATCGAACTACCTATGTATCTCCCCCCACCCCACCCATACCCTCTCTCTGTTTATATATATATATATATTATATATATATATAATATATATATATATATATATATATTGTCCATATGTTTTTTTGTGTGTGTGGTACGTGTGTATTGTGTGTTACGTGATTGCAGGGCTATCACCCAATCAGATGCAGCCCCGTACGCTACCCAACAACCATGATTCGCACAACAAGAGGCGTCTGGCAAGGCGTAAGGAGCTCTCGGCTTTATATAGTTGCTTGAGCATCGCCCTGGGGGTGCCGTTGCGCATTTATTCTCCAATTGCGCTTCCTGGGTGGGTCGCGTGTGTTTGCGGCGGCGTGAGGGAGAGGGCGTGTGAGGGGGCGCTCTATCACGGCTTGGGCGGAGGTCCGGGGGCTCGTGACGTCGCCCCGAACTGTGATGGGTGTGGAGTGTACAACAGTGTGTTTCCATCTGTTGAAATGGATTGTTTATATATTATATATATATTATATATATATATATATATATAATATATATATATATATATGTATGTATATATTATATTGTGTTGTATGATTATGTATAATTGGT